GTACAACCAATACATCTCTATGCATAACCAGTACATACCTTTTCAAACTCTTTCTCTGGAATATCCATTTTGCGTTGGATTCTTTCTTTCACTGCTGAGAAGGGCTCACTCTACATAGCAATGAAAAAAGAGCACTTTTTATTTTAATTCTTCGACACGTTATTCACACACAATTACAAGTTTGTCATACAATTTTGTGTACTCCTTAATCTCTGGTCTGGTTTAAGTCAGTCAAGTGGAAAATATAGGTCCATGACCTACATTTGATACATTGGTGTATTACTTAATTTATATCTACAAATGTTTTGTTGCGACACAATTTTATACTTGTCAGTGTGATAGACACTAGACACCTCACTTCACATGACAATGTTGATGCTGTTAGATCAAATGCTTATAATGGCTGAGCCATTCACAAAACTGCCTGAAAACTGCTTTAATATGATGGCAGATAGTTCAGTTTATATGTTTGTCCCAGTATTTAATGCAAAAGCTTACAAACATATTTGCCATTAAGCATGTGGAAAGGGCCCTCTGCCATGCCATTGCCCCCTCCCCACCCTTACATTTTTTCAGCAACAGTAACCTTGACCTTAACCACTTTTTAAACCCTTAAGGTGTATCTACATATCACAGTGTATCACCATGTCAAATTTCAGAAAGATTAGTATTTGAGTTTCTGAAATAATGTCAGGAAAAGAAAGTGTGGACAGACAGGCGGAGGAGCACACAGATGCACACCATGATTGCTATGTGGGGCTCTAATGAAGAGACACACTTTTTATATTATTTAGACACTTAATATGTAGACCTCCACTTCTGACCATGTTCTTTTGCGTAGGCATCCAGAAAATACACTACTTGTATGCACATTAATCCTGATGTTACATACCCTCTGCTATGCAGAAATAACACTTGCAACATATGACAAATCCACTTTGACCTTTGCCTACAATTTGTGACCTTGGCATTGGAGTGAAGGTTCAGATAAGACTTTTATAGAAGTGGATGTTTTGTCTGCACCAGCTTAGGTGGAACGATTGCAAATTTACGTATGATATAGTATTCATCGGTTCAGAAGTAATGCTTTGTTAAGTTATAGACAGGCTACATCTTATCAAAAATGGTGTAGAAAAATGATAAATACATTTTTTATCAATTTCCTAAGTTAAACATATTTCAAACTTCTATTATTCCAAAGTTTGTTTTTAATCACTTCCAATCAAAATGAAATCAATAGAGATTCAATGATAATAATTCAAATTTAACCCATTCTCGCTATAAAAATATTAAAAATGTTTCATAGTCTTTCTTTGTTAATGTTGGACCATTCTGATTTACCTGTTTAATCTTTAGTAAGAATGGGACTCCAAATGTTGAGAAGACTTCCTGAAAGTAGAAAGAAAATCAGAAATCAGTTTGAAATATGAAACAAGACGGACAGAGGACCTGTATCATTCACTTAGATATAATGGCAAACATTCTCTCATTAAACCATGCATCAAGTCTGATCCAAATTCTTTGAGAAATGAAGTCATTGACTTATGACACTGAACTGACGGACAAATTTCTATGAATAATGATGGTGACATTGGCCTAGATCTTGGAACCCTTAAATACAAACTCATTTGAGGTATCCTCATACAGTGTTCAAATTGTATAACTTTTCATCAAAATCAATGAAGAGATGAAGTACCTCGAGTAATGACACTGTCAGCACAGGAGAAGAACGAACATGGTAACACTGTATTATCCTGCTCTCCTCCAATAAAATGGCAGGGGAAAAAATGTTGCACAGTTTGCCAACAGATCAAGTTTTTCCTTACCTTGTGGAAATGTGCTACCGGAATGAGTGTTTCATCGTCTCCAAGCCGCACCTCATCTTTTGGTAATTCTTCAATTCGGTAACTTTTTGTTGCACCAGCTGGATTGAGGGCATCCAAAAAGGCTTCCTCTCTCTGTATGGTGTAGATCTTGTAGCTGATCACCTCCAACAGCCTGAAATCAATATTGGTAACTGACTATCAAAAATCGATCACGGATAGCCACATACAGATCTGATGATGACTATTTACAGGTCACTTATTATAATAAGTACTCGTTAATGTCAAATATCGGTCACTAATTATTGTCACTAATTATTAAATATCGGTCACTAATTATTAAATATCAGTCATTAATTATTAAACATCGGTCACTAATTATTATATAATTTTTTATATCGTCACTGAT